GCCTGCAATGCAGATCTGGTTGACCATTTTGGTCAGTTGCCCGGCACCGGTAGGGCCAAGCAAGGCGGTCTTTTTTGCATAGGTGTTGAACAGTGGCTGGCAGCGCGTGAAGTCTTCTGCCAGCCCCCCTACCATAATCGTCAGGGCGCCGTTTTCGGCGCCAGCCTGACCGCCGGAAACCGGCGCATCAAGAAAGCCGATATCGAGCTGCCCTGCCCGATCAGCCAGTTCTAAAGCCAGTTCCTGAGATGCGGTTGTGTGATCAACCAGAACGCTGCCGGGTGACATGCCTGCTAACACGCCGGTATCACCGTAGCTGATCGAACGAACGTCGTCGTCGTTACCGACGCACATAAATACTACGTCTGCGTCTTCAGCAGCTGCCGCCGGGCTGGAGGCGGTTTCCAGCGAATGATCGACTTCTGCCTGATACTGGCCATGCCAGCGCTCGGCTTTGCTTGCGTCACGATTAAAAACCGTTACGCGATAACCGTGCCGAGCCAGGTGTCCGGCCATAGGATATCCCATCACCCCCAGACCTATGAAGGCGACGGTTTCTTCGTGGACGAGGTTGCTGCTCATTGGTGTAAGGCCTGTTGTTCTATGCTTGGCCCGTATTGTGACGAGCCTGAGAGCAGATATACAGCCCTACCCGGTTCAGCAAACCCCGTCTTATCAGGCAGGGTCTGCTGCAGACTTGTTGACTAGAGGATAACGGAATCTTTCGCGAAGCCTTCTTCACTTAATGTGAATTTCAGGGCTTTGAGGGCGTCAACCTGAATCTGGCGCACACGTTCGCGAGTCAGACCTATGGCTTTGCCCACTTCTTCGAGGGTAGCAATGTCATGGCCGCGCAGACCAAATCGTCGGCAGATCACGTCGTGAGATTTTTCCGGCAGCATATCGAGCCAGCGGTCTATGTGTCCTTTAAGCTGTTCGTTTTGAACCAGTTGCCAGGGATCGTTGTCACAATCGCCGCCAACGGTTTCCCAGCTGCCGCGATCGGGTTCCAGCACAGATATCTCGGTGCAGGCTATGTTGTCGGAAAGTTCCATCAACTTGCGGACATCGTCTGCAGGCTTGTTTAGCAGTTCTGCAACATCTTCAGGTGTAGGTTCCTGATCAAGCTTCTGTGACAGCTCTCGGGCTGCGCGCAGATAAGTATTTAATTCTTTGGCTATATGAATCGGTAAACGGATGGTTTTTGCCTGATTCATCAAGCCGCGTTCTACGGCCTGTCGGATCCACCAGGTAGCGTAAGTTGAAAATCGAAAGCCTTTGCTGGGGTCGAATTTTTCCACAGCGCGGATCAGGCCGAGGTTGCCTTCTTCGATCAGGTCAAGCAGCGGCAGGCCGCGATTGAGATACCGACGTGCAATCTTTACCACCAGGCGAAGGTTCGCCTCAATCATCTGGCCGCGGGCCTGCATATCGCCTTTCTGGACCTTAACAGCCAGCTGCTTCTCTTCATCAGCAGAGAGCAGGTCAGCACGACCAATCTCGCCCAGGTAAATATCAGTGGCGTCGCCGAGTTCTTTTACTCTCTTGGCTGCCGCCCTGGGTGGCTTGGCCTCTGGGATAGGAGAAATTTCTTCTACCTGAAACCATTCGTTTACTTCTTTCTCATCAACTATTTGTGTAGCTTCGACGTACATCACGTGCTCCGTTTCGTGTGTGGTACAGATCCGTTAGTCGAGAGCTGATAATCCACATTCACGCAGAACATCGTCCCGCGAAAATGGTTTTTTCAATAAAACAGATGCGCCCGCTTCTAAAACCCGATGTTCGAGTTCTGCGCTGTGATGGCCAGTCATGGCGACCACTTGTGCATGGCGAGTTGCCGGATCTGCTTTGATAGAGCGACAGACGTCCACGCCATTCATACCCGGCATCATGATATCCAGCAGCACTATTTCAGGTTTATGTTCCTGAACCATGCGTCCGGCTTCAAAACCGTCCGCTGCGCTGAAAACCTGAATGTCATCAACCGAAGTCTGAAGTAAGGCCACTAAGTAGTTGTTTAATTGACGATCATCGTCAACTACCAGGATCCGACGTTGACTATTTGGCAAAGCGATACCGCGCGCCCTGGCGAAGCGTTCCACTTCTTCCATAGTAAATCGTCGATGGCCACCTGCGGTGGTTTGAGCTTCCAACAGGCCTTTCTGCGCCCATTGTCTAACAGTGATCGGTGAAACCAGCAGCAAACCCGCAACCTCGGTAGGTGTTAGATAATTTGTGTGTTCACCGGCCATTGTTGTACTCAATCTCCTAACTCTTGATTATCTTCTCTCAAAATCCTGACAAATTCGATGAAAACGTTTGCCCGTCGTTCGTTTGTCGTTGCGGGTTAATCGGTTTAATCGATTCGTTGAAAGAGAATCTAATCGGTTTAATCGGTTAAGACTACAACTAATTTGTTATATAGCGTTGCCTTTGCGGAATATTCAGCTATATGAGACTTTGCCAGAGACGCGTTTACGTCTACCGGCACGTACGTCTTCCAAATTTTTCTCTATAGCTTTCAGATAGTTAGGCATGGTTTTGTGGTGTTCAGGCGAAATCATGACCTGTATCCCGTCGGGGTTTTTCAAGCGCGAAGAAAACCAGCCGTCTTCATAAAGGCCTTCACCAACAGCCAAAATATCGTCGTTTTTGCTACCAAAACCGACAATTGAGAGCTTAGGGTGGCCAAAAACCACCAGGCCAAGGTCCTGGCAGCCCTTTACCAATTGCTCACGAGCATCTTTGATCAACGCAGCCCGGGCCACATAGCCTTCCTCACCCAGATAGTTCAGCACAGCCCAGGCTGCAGCGATCGCGCCGCCGGGACGGGTACCGGCCAGGGTAGGCGTGAACATCTGCCCACATGGCCAGACATCGACGTTGAAAATCTGCGCATCACGCAAACTCTTATCCCGGTACAGTACAGTGCTGGCGCCTTTTGCCGCATAGCCGTATTTATGCAGATCCAGTGACATTGAACTGACTCCAGGCAGCGCAAAATCGTAAGCTTCTATTTCTTCTCCCGGCTGACCTTCCACAACAGTTCGCATGAAAGGATTCAGGTATCCGCCGACACAAGCATCAACATGCAGCCAGAGGTCACGATCCAGCGCCAACTGACTGAGTTCATCGATAGGGTCTATCAGGCCATAGGGAAAACAGGGCGCGGAACCCACCAGCATGATGGTATTGGGTGTGATGGCTTCTGCCATGGCTGTGACGTCGGCACAGAAGTTGTCACTGCAGGGTACGCGAATGACCTTGAGGCCCATCAGGTGTGCGCCCTTGTCGAATGCGGGATGCACTGTATAAGGCGCAACTATCTCTGGCGCGCCTGGCACCGGGGCTGTGGCGGCTCTGGCATCGCGGCAGGCTTTAATAGCCAGCAGGATGCTTTCCGATCCGCCTGACGTCATTGATCCAGCAGCACTGTCAGGCGCGTTCTGCAGAGACAACGCCATATTGACAACATCCGACTCCATTGCCTTCAGGCTTGGAAAGGCACCCGGTCCCAGCCCATTCTCCGCGATGTACATGCCGTAGGCTTCGTGAGCAACCTGCATGACGTCATCACCTGAATGAAAAACGTACACGGACGCTTTGCCATGGCGCCAATCGACATCATGTTTACCCATGTCAGACATTCGCTGCTGTAACTGTGCCCAAGGCTGGCCTTTACTTGGCAAACTGATGCGTGCAGTTGACATGTTTCTCTCCAGATCGAATTTGCCCTTATCATAACCAGATTTGGCGCCGTTGTTGGCTATGAGTACACTGCGCGCTGACATTTTTAAGTAAACAAACCATGCCCGATTTACGTGACCTTCCAGCTGTCGATTTACTGCTCAAAGCCAGTGAAATGACTGCCCTGGTCGATACCCATGGCATCCAGGCTGTACGCGATCAGATCAGAGCGCTGCAATCTGAGATGCGCAGAGCGCGGTCTGTGCCAGGCTGGGCGACCGACGCTTCAGGTTATGTTGAACCTGTCGCGGCAAGTTTGAACACAAGCCGGTATACACCGGTTTTTAATATGACCGGCACGGTGATACATACTAATCTCGGCCGCGCCTTGCTCAGCGAAAGCTTGTGGCAAGAGGTCCAGGCACTTGTTACACGACCGATGAATCTCGAATACAACCTGGCAGAAGGCAGGCGTGGGGACAGGGATGCCATTGTTGAAGCACGCATCTGCCGTCTGACGGGTTGTGAGGCGGCGACAATTGTGAATAACAATGCTGCGGCGCTGATGTTGTGCCTGAATACTTTTGCCCAGGGTAAAAAAGTACCGGTATCCAGAGGTGAGCTGATTGAAATCGGTGGTAGTTTTCGATTGCCTGAATTAATGGCTCGCTCTGGTTGTGAACTACTTGAAGTAGGCACAACTAACCGCACACATACAAAAGACTTTGCCGAGGTGCTCGATCAGGCAGCAATGCTGCTCAAAGTTCATCCAAGCAATTTCTACATCAGCGGGTTTGCACAGGAAGTGGTGGCTGCTGAACTTGCGGAGCTTGCGCAGCAAGCTGACATACCCAGCTGCGTGGATCTGGGCAGCGGTACGCTGGTAGATCTCACACGCTGGGGCCTGCCTGCTGAACCCACACCCCAGTCTGTTCTGAAAGACGGTATCGATCTCGTTACGTTCAGTGGCGATAAGTTATTAGGCGGCGTGCAGGCAGGTATCATTGCCGGTAAAAAGTCTCTGCTGGCGCAGATCAAGAGAAATCCGATGAAACGCGCTATGCGGGCTGACAAAATTACCCTTGCGGTGCTCGATGCCACGCTGAAGCTCTATGAACAGCCTGAAGAACTGCCGCAGCATTTACCGCTGCTCAAAACGCTGACCACAAGCTTAGATGAGCTCCGTGAACGAGGTGATGCGCTGAGGCAGGCAGTACCGAAAGATTGGCATACGGAACTCATAGACAGCGCTGCACAAATTGGCAGTGGCGCCCTCCCTGACAAGACCATTAAAAGCCTGTCTCTTGTACTGTCCCACCCTGATCAATCGGCTGAACAGACTGCGATCACCTTGCGCAGATTACCAACGCCTGTGATCTGTCGCGTTGCTGAAGACAAAGTCTGGTTGGATTTGCACGGAGCCGTTCCGCTGCAAGAGTTGATCCAGCAACTCAAAAATTTAGCCGTATGATTGTTACCCTGGCAGGCCACGTAGACCACGGCAAGACTTCGCTCGTGCGGGCATTGTCAGGCGTAGATACAGATCGTCTGGAACAGGAAAAGCTGCGTGGTTTAACCATAGATCTCGGCTTTGCTTATATCGACAACGGCAGCATTGGTTTTGTCGATGTGCCTGGTCACGCGAAATTTATTCATAACATGGTAGCAGGCGTAGCCAGTCAACAGTTTGCCCTTCTTGTTATTGCAGCGGATGACGGTCCGATGCCGCAAACCCGGGAACATCTCGATATATTGCGGCTGATCGGGTTACGCGGCGGCGCGATTGCTATAACCAAGAGCGATCGGGTCGATGCACAGAGAATTAAAATCTGTCAGGCTGAAGTTGCAGAGCTTGTGACCAACACTTTTCTTGAGTCAGCACCCGTGATCATCACCAGCGCCGAAGATCCTCAGAGTATAAAGCCATTGTTGGCGCACTTACGGTCCGAAGCTGCCGAATATGACAAGACGATTGATCAGAAGCCCTTTCGCATGGCTATTGATCGTGCTTTCAGCATTAAAGGCGCTGGCTTGGTTGTCACCGGCACGGTACATGCCGGCACTGTCGGTGTCGATGACACACTGTTTCATTTTCCCAGTGGCGCGACGGTGCGGGTGCGATCGATCCATGCGCAGGATCAACCAGCCGAGAAAGCCGTCTGCGGAGATCGTTGTGCGCTTAATATCAGCGGGCTCGGTCTGCAGGATGTCGCCAGAGGACACTGGTTAGACGGCGCTGAAATGCCCGCGCAGCGGGAAGTCGCTATCAAACTTAATGTTCTCGAAACTTTTCCGCGCGCAGTTGCCCATTGGACTCCAGTACACATCTACAATGCCACAACTCACGTTACCGGTCGCATCGCTCTGCTTTCTCCTGGAAAAATTGCGCCCGGTCGCAGCGAAATTGTAGAGATTGTTTGCGATGAGCCGCTAACGGTTCGTCATGGGGATCAGCTGGTTGTACGGGATCAGAGTTTAGATGTGACGCTGGGTGGCGGCGCTGTCGTTTATGCCAGTTCGCAGCCGAGTCTGCGCCGCCGCAACCCTGAGCGTCTGAAACTGCTGCAGGCGTTTGCTCTCCAAACTCCCCAGCAGAGTCTCGAACAGCTGTTGAAAATTGGACCGGTCGACCTTAAAGAATTTATTGATGTCTGGCATCTTCAAGCCGACGAGGTCGACACTCTGCTGAACCCACACGAGGTGTTGAAAGTTGCTGGTATGGCCGTGGCCAAAGAGCTGCTCGGACACTACCAGCAGCAATTGCTGCAGCAGATTACCCTGCATCAAAATGAATTTGCCAGCTCTCCGGGGTTAAAAGAAAATGCGTTTACGCAGATTCCCGGGTTGCTGCGGCAAAGATTGTTAAATGCCATGGTACAGGCCCAGGTGATCAAGAATGTGGGCGGTTACTTTCGGTTGCCTGATAAAGAGACCAGCCTGCCAGCGGACTTGCAACAAGCCTGGGCGAAGTTTGAGCAGAGGCTGGACCATCTGCAGCCGCCTTCCACAGGGGATCTGGCCAAACAAACGGACACGCCGCAAACGCAAATTGAGAAAGATCTGAAGGGGCTGGCCAAGCGAGGTTATGTGGTGCACGTGGCCGTACATCGCTTCTATCTGCCCAGACAGCTCCAGGCAGTAGCTGAACAAATACGACAACTTGCCGCAGCAAAACCATTTTCGGTTAAAGAATTTCGAGATAAAACCGGTATCGGACGCAACGTTGCAATTGAAGTACTTGAATATTTTGATGGCCGTGGTTTTACCCGCAGACAAGGTAACGAACGTATCGTTCTGAAAGCCGACTATTAGACTGAATCGGAGTGTGGTGGCTGAGTGAACTCTGATACCATCGTTTGTGGAAGAGCATCGTCTCCGGTGGGGCGCGCGGCCTTCAAAGCCGTTGAGGTGCGAATACGTGCCTGGTGGGTTCGACTCCTACCTCTTCCGCCATAAGAGTCCGCCAAAAAGAATCAGACTGGCACTTCCAGGCATAATCTCTTATCGTTCCTGCCCCGTACTCTAGCTCGAGCTTACCTTGACCGCTGTACAAACCATCACCCTTGCCGGTGAATTTGTCATGAAACGTGGCAGCCTCACAAGTCCAACCCTGGCCTACGAAAGTTGGGGCCGGCTGAATGAGAAAGCAGACAATGCTGTGCTGCTATTCACTGGTCTGTCACCTTCAGCGCACGCCAGCTCATCTAAGAACGATCCTTCAGCGGGATGGTGGGAAGACATGATTGGCTCGGGCAAACCCATTGATACGGACCGGTATTTTGTCATCTGCGTCAATTCTCTAGGCAGTTGCTTTGGCTCCACTGGACCGGCAAGTATCAATCCGGACACCAACGAGCTGTATCGGCTGACCTTTCCGGTGCTTACTGTCGAAGATATTGCTGACGCTGCCGCATATATTCTTGATCACCTGGGTATTGAAACAGTCCATACTGTGGTGGGTTCTTCAATGGGTGGTATGACGGCAATCGCCTTCACCCAGCAACGACCCGGTCGCGCGCGGCGCCTGGTATCCATTTCTGCGGCCGCACGCAGCCTGCCCTTTTCAATCGCCCTTCGCTCCCTGCAACGGGAGATTATTCGTTCAGACCCATTGTGGCAGAACGGCCAGTATGACATGAGTGGCGACGGACCCGTTTCTGGCATGCGTCTTGCGCGCAAGCTGGGGATGATAAGTTACCGCTCCGCCGCCGAATGGGCAGAACGTTTCGGCCGCGAGCGCGCCACAGACTTCACCCATGCTGACAATCCGTTTGGCATCGACTTCGAAGTGGAAAGTTATCTGGAAAGCCATGCCAATCGCTTTATCGGCACCTTTGATGCTAACTGTTACCTTTATCTTTCCAGGGCTATGGATTTATATGACGCGGCAGATCATGGCGGATCCCTGGAGGCCAGTTTTGCAAAGCTGGGTCTGGATGCTGCGCTGGTCATCGGTGTTGAAACAGACTTCCTGTTTCCAGTGAGTCAGCAGGAAGAGCTTGCCCTCGCATTAGATCGACACGTGCCGGAAGTGATTTTCAAACGCATGCCGTCTCTACAGGGTCATGATTCATTTCTTGTTGATATGGATCGCTTTCGCCCCGCCATAGCTGATTTTTTCTGAGTTAACCAGCAGTCTGAGCTGACAAAGCCTGCTGTAACAAATGATCCAACATACTGGCATCTACATAGCCGCCGGCTAGCAGGCGCAGCGTACTGTTTTCTTCAATCAGAACGCTGGGCATGGCGCCCGTGCCAAACGCGCCGGCATTTTCAAATTGAAAATCGACACGCGCGTTAACCTGAGTTGAATCCATCAGTTTGTTCATTTTGTCGGCATCATAGCCAGCGGCGGATGCAAGCCGCTGCAGGGTATTTCGATCGTTGATATTCTGTTGCTCAACAAAAAAACTGGCCTGCAGCTGATGCAGAAAATCGAACGGTGCGCTGCCGGTCATTAACCGTATCGCTTCCACCGCAAGGCAAGCCAGTCTCGAATTATGGACGTAGACTTCAGGTACCAGTTCGCCGAAAGTCTGACCTGTGGTTGCTGCGACTTCATGCCAGAGACGCCGCAGATATCGGCGGCCGTACTCGCCTATGGGTTGGGTGCCCTGCGGATTGATGCCGCCCAGCATCAAGTCGTAAGTAATCGTTGGGTGATGCTTTCTTCGTGCGATGTCGATATCGCGACTCATACCCCAGCACCATGAGCACATTGGGTCTGTGACAATGACAACCCGCGCAGGCCCGTTTGTCAGCGGATTGACCATGGTCCCGACGCTAGAATTCTACCGATACTGACAGCTGGGTAACCCTGTTTACGAAGTTTACTGAGACAATCTGCCGCCTGATCTTCTGGCACGCAGGCTAACAAACCGCCCGACGTTTGAGGGTCTGCCAGCAGTTTCAGTTCCGGTGCAGACTGCGCCAAATTCTGATCGAGCTGAAAATCGGCAAAGGCCAACTCATTGGCAACTTGCAGTGAACTGTGCAGCTGGCGGATCAGGTCATGTGCGCCGGGCAGTGTAGGCACGTTCGCGATATCCAATTCAACCGCTACTCCGGAGGCTCGCAGTATTTCGCTCAGATGGCCAATCAGGCCAAAACCGGTGATGTCTGTAAGAGCATGTACACCGCAGTCCAGAAATACCTCTACTGCAGCTGCGTTGCTCATGTCCATGCTGCTGAGAGTCTCGTCCAGACATGCTGGTGACGCTTTGCCCTGCATCGCAGCAGCAAGCACAACACCGGTACCCAACGGCTTGGTCAGAATAAGCACATCACCCGCTCTAGCGTCAGCTTTTGTTACTGTTTTTGATCCTGGCACGCCGGTGACGGTAAGAGCGAGGGTCAATTCCGCACCCTCAGCAGTGTGCCCACCTACAAGGGGTACCTGGTGGCTGTTCAGCACCGCCACAACGCCCGACAGCACCTGGAACAGCTCCTCTTCCATCAGCGCTTCCGCCATGAGGGGCAGCGTGATGAAGGTCAGTGCAGAAGTTGGTGTGGCAGCCATAGCAAAGATGTCATTGAGGCTGTGATGTGCGGCAATGCGCCCAAACAGGTATGGATCATCCAGCATGGCTCTGAAGCCATCGATGGTCACCAGCGTGTCAGTGCCTGGATTTTCGATGAGCGCGGCGTCATCACCAATTCCGAGTTTGATGTAGGGGCTTCTCTGCTCTGGTAGACGTGCCAGAACCCGTCGTAATGGATCTGCAGCCAACTTTGCGCCACAGCCACCGCAACGCATCATATCCTCAGGCAAGTCAGCACGAAACGCATCTGAGATAGTTAGCGAAGGCGGAGAAATAGCAGGTAATTTATTGAATTTATTTATAAAATTACGGTCGATGCGATCTTTCAAGAGCCACCAGAAGCGCCCGTAAGCAGACCAGCTGCCGCGGTTGGCAATGGCTTTGCCCTGCCCATCTCCGAGTAGCGCCAGGTAATTTGTCTGGGCGTGATACGAACGCAACTTCTTCTGGGTGAGTGTCCGGCGCAAATTATCTGCCAGCACCGCGCCCGCCCGCACCGCATAGACACCCGCTTTCGGGCGTGGCTGATCACGCAGGTAGGCAATATCACCCGCGGCAAAAACACCAGGGTGGGAAGTGCTTTGTAGTGAGGCATCAACGCTGATGAACCCGTTAAGGTCTGTTTCAAACCCGGCTGACGCAATCCATTGAGGCGCCTGTACGTGTGTTACCCAGAGGGTGTGGGTGGCTTCCAGCGCGGTACCTGAAGACAGCAACAGCTCGACATCACTGCGGCCTTCAACCCGCTCGTTAACCCAGGTAATACCTCGCTGGGCGAGCGCCTGTTGAGCTGTGGTGATGGTCCTGATGTTGTGGCCAGGCAGTAGACTCGGGCCGTAAAGGCTGATCTGCACCGCATTCGGCAAAGCGCTGCGTGCCGCAAAAGCTAATTCCACCCCACCGGCGCCGGCGCCGATAATCGCCAGGTGATCGCCGGCTTTAATTTCGGCTTGGATGGCCTGCCACTTAGGCAGGAACGCGCTGATGGGTTTTACAGTGACAGCGTCAACGTAAGGCGCACTAGGCACAGCGCCGGTGTTGATAGACAGAAGATCAAATTTGAGCGGTGGCCTCCCCTCCAGCTGCACCTGCTTTGTGCGCATATCAATACCGAGGACTTCCGCACTGATCAGTCGCGCGTTGGCGAATCGACACAGTGGTCCCAAATTAATATGGATATCTTCCGGCGTATAGGTGCCTGCAATGCAACCTGGCAACATGCCTGAATACGGCGTTTGCTGGCCTTTCGAAATCAGTGTCAGCCGCACACCCGGTTCCGGGTGCATGGCAAATTTCTTAAGTACGCTGACGTGGGCGTGGCCACCCCCCAGGAGCACTAAGTCTCTCACGGCGGGCGCATCTATTTGTGCGGATCCTTGCATGTGCAGGAGCATGTCAGAGATTGAGCTTTTGCACTAGTCGCGGGATTGGATTGCCAGGTTCAGCCGGGAAAACAGCAGCAGAGTGTCATAGTTGGAAAATTGGGCGATTTCCGCTGCGGGCGCTGCTCGAAGAACCGCAACCCGCACAGGGATGGGGTAAAGGGATGGGGTTAGTCGTCGAAGTCGAAATCCAGATAGTCGATATCAGCTTCCTGACGCCGACGTTCCTGACGCTCTTCTAAGGCCCTGCGGATTTCCAGCGAGCGTGCGTCCTGAGCTTTCGGCGATAACACTTCAGCTTCAATGCGATCAACATCTTCGCCGTCGTCGTCGCTGTCTGCATCAAACTCATCAAGTTCCGCACTGACATCTTCGTCATCGTCCGCCGCAAACTCGTCGACTTCGGTGTCGTCTTCGTCAGGTAGATCTTTGCTATCCGTGAGATTGTCGCCGCTAGTTGCCAAGTCGCCCCCTTTTTTCTGGACAGATAAACCAGACTTCTAAAAGCGGGTTTTACGGCGCACTGGGGACGTGTGTCAAGCAGCAAAATCAATTTTCGACGCTATCGGCAGCTCGGAGTGGAATCAGGCGAGGAATGGCACCAGCAGATAGGCGGCAAACGCCAGTAGCGCGGCAATGCTTTTCAGGTCGAGATAGGTGCGTAAAACTGTCATGTGCAGACAATAGCCAAGACATTTGTTGCTGTGAAAGAACGTTTGCCAATAACGTTATAGCCAACTGCAGGGGTCTCAGCGCGGTGCTCAAGACAAGGGACGGTCAGAACTAAGTTGTACCCGCCTCAAAACATAATCAGTACGTAAGCCCCTGGCGCTACCATCCCCCAGAGCGTTACGCCGAACAGTACGCTGCGCCAGGACATCTGCTGCAACGTTGCCCGATTAATCTCCAGGCCAATCATCAGCAGTGCAAGCACAAGTAGTGATTTACTGACCTTGGTGACAAGTTGCAGGAGGCCTGCCTCAAGGCTCACAAAGCTGCTTATGAACGCCGCCAGAATAAACAACAACACAAAAAGCGGCACCCTGAGCGTGGCTTCCTTTTCGCGGTAGATGAGGCTGACGGCAAAGGCGACAGGGATCAGCCACAAGGTGCGACCAATTTTAACCGTGGTGGCCACAGCAGCCGCTTCTTCGCCATAGATTGCTGCGGTTGCAACCACCGAGCTGGTGTCATGCACAGCCAGCGCAACCCAGACACCAAAAGCTTCCTGGCTCATGTTCAACCATTGACCGATAAATGGGAACGTCATCAAGGCAACCACGTTCAACAGAAACACCAGTGCGGTGGCAACTGCAAACTGTTTCGGATTGGCGCCCATGAGTGGGCTCAGCGTGGCGATGGCTGTGCCACCGCAAATGGCTGTACCGCTGGTTAAAAGAGCTGCTTCTGTGCGATCACAGAACAAAACCCGTGACAGCACCCAGCCAAGAGCAAAAGTGCCCAGCACATACCCGGCGACAGGCAGGCCATAGTCAGCAGAAACGCTGACCATGCGGTCAAAACCCAGAGTGAAACCCAATAGAACAATGGCGGTCTGTAAACTGAAAGTACCAATGGACTTGGCGCGGGTGATGGGCTGAGTTTGCAAACCCAGGCGTGTCGCCAGGCCACCGAGGAGCCCGATGGCGGGATTCTGATAATACAGCGCCACACCCAATGTCAGGATAATCGCCACCCATGACAGGGCAACAACAGCCCGGCTGGGCTGATTCTGGTTGTCTAAATCAACCTCAGGTGTTGCTGCCACAGAGCTTGGCCGGGGCGATTGCGGAGCAGTAGGATGGGGTCAGATCGTTGCTTAATCCGGGTCTGGAGACAAAAGCTCTGCTTGCTGCACACAACCCAAACTGCTGATTTTCAAGCCAGGCTTCAACGCCCGACAAGCCGCTGACAAACAGTTTGTTGTCGAACTGCAGAGCAATTTCGCCCGGCAGGTCCTCTCTGGTAAGCACTCTGGCGCAGGAATGCCCTAAACACAGCGTATCTGCATTGCGCAGCTGGCGATCAAACAATTCTGGCTGAGCATTGCTGGCGGCAGCCGCTGTTTGTGCACAAAGCAGTTTTTCCCGCAGATAGGCAGTCGCCGTAGAACCTTGCTCCTGAGGATGCGTTTCAATCACCCAGCGAACAACATATTCATGCGCGAAAACCCAGGCAAGCATCTGATCTGCGCAGCTTGTCAGGCTTTTCCCGGCATCCGGCGCACTGGCGGGTGCATCAATGATTGCGCAGGTTTGCGATTCCGGATTCGCGACAACATAACCGCAGCGAACCTCGTGCGGATTTTCGACTAAAAATGGGTGTACTGTAATACTCATGTCTGAATTTTGCGTTGATCTGGGCAAAATATTTCACCACTTCTTCACCCAAATGCGGAGAAGAGCTAAAATATTTCGATATTCTTGTCATATTTAAAGATATTTTCTCATGAAAATCGACCGCTTCGACCATCGCATCCTGCAGCAGCTGCAATCCAATGCGGATATTGCGATCTCCGAACTGGCAGAACAAATCGGCTTATCCACAAATGCCTGCTGGCGGCGTATTAAACGCCTGGAGGAACTGGGTGTAATTCGAGGACGCGTTGCGCTGCTGGACGAACGTGCGCTGGGGTTACGCCTGACCGTGTTTGTAGCCATTAAAACAAGTGAACACAACGATAGCTGGCTGGAGAAATTTTCGGACGGGGTGAAAAACATTCCCGAGGTGATTGAGTTTTATCGCATGAGTGGCGAAACCGATTACCTGTTGAAAATAGTTGCGCGGGACATCGACGACTATGATCGAGTTTACAAAAAGCTCATCTCAGTGGCGCCACTGCATGACGTTTCCTCGTCCTTTGCCATGGAGAGGATCAAATCTTCCACTGCCCTGCCCTTACAGCACCTGTCAGGTTAGGGCCGACTTAGCGCTAGATAACGCCGGTTTCACGAAAACTTTCAATCTGCTCGATCGTATAGCCAAGCTGCAGCAGAATCTGTTCGCTATGTTCACCTAAATCTGGCGCTCGACTGGCTGGTTTAGTGTTCAGGCCATCAACATTTACTGGATGTTTTATCACCTGATCCAGGCCAGTGTCGCCGCCGTCCATCAGCATTGGATTTAGCAGCACCTGCTGATCTCCTGGCAGGCGCTCTACCTCACCGACCAGAGCAACCGGGACACCAGCGGCGTGAAACTCTTCCAGCCATTCAGCGCTGTTGCGAGTTCTGATAACGGGTTTGATCATTGCAACCAGTTCTGCACCGTGGGCGACGCGACTGGCCGGGTCAGCAAATCTTTCCTCGATAAGCACTTCCGGCATACCCATGACAGTAAACATCGCGTCTGTTTCATCTGCACTGCGTACCATTGTGAATTGTAACCAGCGCCCGTCGAGGGTTTCGTACATCACACGGGTATACAGATGACCTAACATGGCTCGATAACGGCTGAAATCTGCGCCGACAAATGCACCCTGAGCGATACAGGACGCTGACCAGATACCATTAGCCAGAAGTGAGGTATGAACAAAACTGCCTTCGCCGGTTTTCATGCGACGTATCAGAGCGGTTAGGATACCAGCATACATGCTGACCGCTGTGGGGTGGTCGCCCATGCCGGGTAATGCCGGCGACGGGTCTGCTCCTGGTGCGTGCACCAGGTCCATCAGACCAGAGCGAGACCAGTAGGCAACAAGATCGAAACCCTCTCGATCCCGTTCAGGACCCTGTTCACCGTAGGCGGTCAGCGAGGCGTAAATCAGCGCTGGATTACGCGCCTTAAGGTGCTCATAAGACAGGCCCAGCTTCTCACGCATACCCGGGGAATGATTGGTGACATACACATCGGCTTCGTCGATGAGCTTGAAAAGGATTTCACGCCCGGCTTCGGTCTTCAAATTCAGTGCCACAGAGCGCTTGTTGCGTGCATCCATCTGCCAGGCGAAATTATGCGAACTGTCCGGCGCACCCGGGGTTGCAGAAAATTGGCGATAGCCATCACCGACACCCGGCAGCTCTACTTTGACAACTTCCGCACCAAAGTCTGCAAGCATGGTGGCTGCAACCGGCGCGGCAATCCAACTGCCCACATCGAGTACCTTCAAGTCTTCAAACAGATAATCCTGCGCCACAACTTTCCCCTTGCGATGACTGATAGATGAAATTTATTCGCGCCGATAGGCGACGGCTGCATCTTGTATTTCCAGAGCAACTTCCAATACTGGATTCGACACATACCCGAGTGCACTTCGACCACTGAGCGTGCCGCCAATGTGTGCGGTTGGAAACACCTCCGCAACGGTATCACCACTGGCAGTCAGCGCAATACGCTGGGCAGACAGTGTTGCGGAGGACAGCTTTGCATTGCCGGTTAAAGTGGCCTGCAGACGCTGGGTTTCTCCGGCCAGATATTGCTGGCTTTGGCCGGATGCGAGTACCTGGACCTGGTCAGCAACAATCTGATCGAGCCTCAAGGCGCCGTGGCCAGACGTGCGCAGGTCGAGCAGATCTGCGTTCAATTCAACTGCGGCAAAACTACTGCTTCCATACACGGCAACTTTGTCGTACCGGGCAAAACCATCCGGGCTTTGTTGAGCCTGCACAGAGCCCAGCAGTTCAATTTCAGCGAGCTTCACGCAACTGAGGCTGGCTCGCAGCTGATTAGGACCGTTAGTACTGAGCGACAAAGTTGTCCCATCATGTAACCACTCAAACTGATCAACACCGTTGCCCACCAAATGCAGGGTATTTACGTCGTCGCTTAAAATAGTGATTTCAAAATCGCCGCTGGCACGCAGTTTGTTGCAGTCTGGCAGCATGATGAGAGACTCATCCGATTGCGCAGAACAAGCGACCAGACAGACACACAACAACACGGTTGGCAGACGTTTCATTCGGCGTATGTGACGAACTCTACCCAGTTACCATCGGGATCTTCCACCATACCAATTGTCACACCTGCGCGAACTTCGGTGACCGGCACAACAACCGCCGCTCCGGCGTTAGCACATGTGGACATCATCTCTTCGAGGTTGGAAACCCGCATAGTCCAGTAACGGATGCCTGACGCTGATTCAATGGGTCCGGGTTGCGCACGGCTCTGAGGTGGATTTTCGGGTACAACAATTTTAATCAGGCTGTCCCCGCACCAGAGGCGATACATCACCCCACCTGCATGGAATGGTGTGCTGGCTTCCTCGACAAACCCCAATACGTCTCTATAGAACGTCAGCATAGCCTGCCCGTCTCGGGCAACTATGCCTAAGTCTATTGCAGGCTTACTCAGCGCCACGCCGGTATCAGCCATCGAGTTTTGCATTCCATTGCGCAACCAGAGGCTCATCAGCAAGCAGAGCTTCTGTTTCACCTTCGATGGTTACAGATACGATTTTGTCACCCTGGGCGATGGCGTTAACCACATCCTGATCGGCATCGCTTTGAACCGCGCCAAAAATTGTATGTGCATCGTCCAGCCAGGGTGTGGCGACGTGGGTGATAAAGAATTGCGAGCCGTTGGTGCCCGGTCCTGCATTGGCCATGGAAAACTTGCCGGGTGCATCATGACGCAGTTCGGCGACAAACTCGTCAGCAAATCGATAACCCGGTCCGCCAGTGCCAGTACCTTGAGGGCACCCACCCTGGACCATGAAGTCAGGGATCACACGGTGGAAAGCAAGGCCGTCGTAGAATCCACGCTGGGCCAGATTTACAAAATTCGCCACCGTCATCGGTGTTTTATCTGCAAACAGGTCCAGTCGAATAGTGCCTTTATTTGTTTCCATTACAGCAACCAGAGACATAAGCATTCCTCTCTAAATAAAACCCGGCATGGTACAACATGCGACAGGCTAAAACCTCCTCCTTAGATACCTGAGTGTCTAAGAAAATGTGATTTCCTCGCCAAACTGGTCCGCATAACACAACTTGTTCACCGGCCGCCGTGAGATCGCACCATGTCCGCCACGCACCGGGTATCCAATCGGCATGACCGCACACGTATACCAACCGTCGGGCATTGCCAGAATCTGTTTGAGTTTGTCTTCCTCATAACACAACAAAGTGGTCAACGTGCAGCCTATACCTTCGCTGACACAGGCCAGCATTGCATTCTGCAGAGCTGGATAAACCGATCCGCCGCCCACGATTGAGGGACGGCCCTGGTCAGCATCCGTGATCGCCATGTAATCCGGATTGAAACAGAATATCAGCAGTACGGGTGCTTCACCCATGTGTTCTCCGAGGTAATCGCAGGCATCAAGCATACGTGCCCGCTTGGCTTTGGCCTCTCCTTCCAGGCTGGCCAGACCTTTGCGCGCGTTGGCGCCGTAAGATGCCCATTGAGGCCGATAAAGGTCACCAATCCGGGTCCTTATATCCGGATCTCGAGCGACAATAATTCGAAATGGTTGCACATTACCTCCACTTGGCGCCCATGCCGCGGCCTGCAGGATGCGCTGCAGAACATCATCGGGAATAGGGTCAGGTCGCAGGCGTCGAACTGCGCGCAGCGTACTCATGGCGTCATATAAAGCTAGGGATTCAGGATTCACAGGTTACTCCGGGGTGTGTTGTGCAAGGAATTGAGCAAACGTATGCATCGCTTCAGTTTTTGCCTGACCTGCTTTCCAGGACTCGAGAAAAACCACGTTTGGTGCGGTTGCTGCAATCATGCGTGAGCTTGATTCCGGGTGATAGAGATCATTGCCCATCAGAACCAGCAGCGGTGTTTTTATATTCGCGACAAATTCGCGGTCGACGTTAAACAGGATGGTGTCACCGCCGTACATATTTTCGCGGAACGCTGCCCAGGCTTCGGCGGGGACCTCGGCCATCTGCGGCTGCAGTGTAGCGGCCCAGTCATCAAACATCGCGTAAAACGCCTCGGCGTTATTATCCCGACCTATCGTCTGAAACAAGGTAGCGCTGACAACCCGTTCCGGCGCTGCCTGGATAAGACCCAATGCATATGGTCCACCTATGCACATACCCGCGACATGGAATTCATCAAATCCCAGGTGGCTCATCAACCCCAGCTGATCCCGGCTATAGGTGTGCCAGCCATGATCTGCGGCAACAAGACCGCTGCTGTTGCCGGCATTACGTTGATCCATGGCAACCACGCAGAATTTATCCTGCAGTTGTTCAATTGGATTCCAGGGGGTGTTTTCCCAGAAACTGATGGCCGATTTCATGCCCCCGGGTGCAATCAACAGCAGGGGAAAACCTGAACCATGGGTTTCGTAGTAGATCTTTGCGTCATCGGTTTGAAAATAAGGCATTTTGCCGTCTCCAGAAAGTAAGCCTCGCAAGGCAAGGCCAGGTCAGCGCGCGCAATGCCCGCCATCGATGGTCACGATTGTGCCGGTGGTATTGGCTGAACGATCACTGGCTAGAAATGCCACCATATCAGCGATATGCGCGGGCTCCCCCGGCGGGTAACGCGGGTCCAGCAGTTCCTGCCAGCGCTCGGCATCATTGAAGCGTTTGCTTGCCGCGGCTTTGAGCAAATCCTGGAGGCGTTCGGTGACAATCTGTCCGGGGTTGATGCCCACTACCCGAATGTTGTCTTTACGGCTGGTGCCGCCCAAAGCGCGGGTCAGAGCCATCAGCGCAGCATTGCCACCAGCCCCGGCTGCATATCCCGAAGTGGGCCGCTCACCGCCTGCGCCGATGACGTTAAGAATAACACCCCCTCGGCCGCTCATCTGTCTGTAAAAGCCGCGGCAGAGGTTGATATACCCAAAGACTTTCAGGTCCCAGGCCTCGCGCCAGGTTGATTCGTCGATGTCTAAAAGGGTGCCGCTTGGAATGGCGCCTGCGTTGTTGACGAGAATATCTGCCTCCGCCTGGGCTTCAATCAACGCTTGAGCATCGTGCGAATCCGCCAGATTCAGCGCCTGATAACTGACCTGCCCCGGACCGCACAGATCTACCAGGGTCACAGCTGACTGCAGGTCTGATTCGGTGCGGGCAACGAGATGTACATGAGCGCCTTCCCGCGCCAGGCTCTGGGCACAAGCCAGGCCAATACCTTTTGAAGCGCCGGTAATCACTGCCCGCCGGTTATTTAATCCTAGATCCATACCTGCCCTCCTTATAGTCGTTTACTTTAACAGAAGCCTCTTATGTCTTGGCAGCCTGGGTGTAACTTCCTTAAACTCTGAGGTATGAATATCCCGCACTTAGACCTGCAAGATCTCGACCTTGTCGCTTTAGACCAAGCCTGCTCACAGTGGGGGTTTTTCAAATTATCCGGGCATCAGATTCCGCCTCACCTGATTCGGGAGGTAATGGCGCAGACTTCCCGGTTTTTCCAGCAACCCCACGCACAAAAGCAGAAAATTGCGCGCAGTGCGGATAACGCCTGGGGTTATTTTGATGCGGAGTTGACAAAAAATCGGCGCGATTGGAAAGAGATTCTGGACATTGGTCCTGCAGTAACAAGCGGTCCGCTGGCCGGTTCTTTTCCGCAGTGGCCAGATCAGGCTGGTTTTCAGGAAGTCATGATGGCGCTTGAAAGCCATTTCCACAGCATTGCCCTTGAGCTGGTCAGATCAATAACTGCAACCCTCGGCAGTGTCGAGGACCTCACCACCGCCTTCGATGATCACAGCAGTTTCCTGCGGCTTAACTACTATCGACCTTGTCCTGACCCTGCGCCAGCGGATGCGGGTTTTGTTCCGCTGAAAGGAGAGCTGGGCATCAGTCACCATACTGATGCCGGTGCGTTAACTGTTTTGTTACAGGATGAACAGACGGGATTACAGGTCTATCGAGATAGCTGCTGGCATACTATTACACCCAGCGAAAACGCGCTGATCATTAACATTGGTGACATCGTGCAGGTTTGGTCCAACGACAGGTATCAAGCGCCCTTGCACCGGGTACTGGCCAACGCAAATCAGCCGCGCATCAGCACACCCTACTTTCTGAATCCAAATTATGATTATGATTATGCGCCGCTGGCAGCAACATTGCTCGAGGCGGAGCCGAAGTACAACGCCATCAACTGGGGTTATTTCCGCAGTCAGCGTAGTCAGGGTGACTACGCTGATCATGGTGAAGAAATTCAGATTGCCAACTTCAGCCGCTAAAGCTGAAGTACTTCAGCCTTTGCAGCGGAAGTTGCTCAACTAGTGCGGATGCAGGACAACCTGTAAATCAGAAAAGCCATGCACAAAATTTGACGGTATACGCTCAGGCTCACCAACCATCTCAATTTTGTGGAACCGCTTCTGAATTTCTTCCCACAGAATACGCAGCTGCATTTCCGCCAGACGATTTCCCATACAGCGATGGATGCCAAAGCCAAAAGACAAGTGCTGGCGCGCGCGGGCACGATCAATAATAAACTCATCCGGGCGGTCGATCGCGCGTTCATCACGGTTGCCAGAGGCATACCACATCACCAGTTTGTCACCCGCTTTAATCTGCTGACCCTGCAGGACATAGTCCTTTACAGCGGTGCGACGCATGTGTGCCAATGGTGTTACCCAGCGAATGATTTCAGACACCATGTTGGGAATAACCGACGGGTTGTTGCGCAACTTGGCGTATTCACCCGGGTTTTCATTCAGCGCAATGACCCCACCGGTAATTGAGTTCCGGGTGGTGTCGTTACCCCCCACAATCAGCAGCACAAGGTTGCCGAGATATTCCTGCGGATCCATGTCTTTGGTGGCTTCACCGTGGGCCAGCATGGAAATCAGATCGTTGCCATCTCCGCTGCCTTCGCGCTCCTGCCACAGGCGGGTGAAGTATTCCAGGCACTCGTAGAGTTCTTCGCGGCGCTGCTCTTCACTTTCAACAATGCCGGTCTCCGGGCCACCCGTGGCCACATCTGACCAGCGGGTCAGTTTTCTGCGGTCTTCGAAGGGGAAATCAAACAACGTCGCCAGCATCTGCGTGGTCAGCTCAATAGACACACGGTCAACCCAGTTGAACTGCTCACCGATGGGTAGATCATCGAGGATAGTCTGTACACGGCTGCGAATTGTACTTTCAAGATTCTGCAGATTACGCGGTGCCACAACACCCTGGACGGTTTTACGTTGCTCATCGTGTTTGGGTGGATCCATGGCGATGAACATAGGCAGTTCAAAATCTTCTTCAGGATCCTGTATCACAATAGTCGGATCCGATGAAAAGCTCTGCCAGTTCTGCTCAACTTCCATGATGTCTTCAAAACGCGTCACTGACCAGTACGGACCGAATTCACTTTCTTTACAATAATGTACTGGCGCTTCATCGCGTAACCGTTTGAAAAATGGATACTTTTTATTCTGCGACCACAACTCACGTTGGCTGACATCGATGTCTTCCAGCGGTACTGTTGCGGGATCCAGATCAACCATCAGAGGGGTAGTCGCTTCAGCCATTAGAATTGGAACTCCGGTAAGTTAACAACCAAGCCGTCCAGCTCGTCGGTCACAGGAATCTGACAGGATAAACGTGAGTTTTCAACACGCTCAGGATTAAGATCCAGCATGGATTCTTCAGCTTCGCTGGGCTGACCTACTTTTGCCATCCAGGCTTTATCAACCATGACGTGACAGGTAGCACAGGAACACTCTCCGCCACAGTCTGCATCGATGCCGGGGACCAGGTTGTCCAAAGCTGCGTTCATCACCGTAGTGCCTGTTGGGGCGTCGACTTGGTGCTCGGTTCCATCGTGTTCTATGTAGATGATTTTAGGCATTGGTTATCCTTGTTGTACTCTCTGTATGGATGGTTATGCGATGCAGGCATTGATGTCAGTTGCTAAAGCAATATCTTTGTCTGTGACGGTATTACCCGCATCGTGGGTGTTCAAGCTGATTTTGACCGTGTTGTAGACGTTATGCCAGCTTGGATGGTGATCAGCTTTTTCTGCCAGCAATGCAACCTTGGTCATGAACGCAAAAGCGGCAACAAAGTCATCAAACGCGAAGTTACGCGTCAAGGCATTGTCGACCAAAGTCCAGCCTTCGGGGGTTATTCCGACGGTCATACACAGTCCCGGCAGTATCTAGAATTGGTGGAGCCAGGGAGGATCGAACTCCCGACCTCGTGAATGCCATTCACGCGCTCTCCCAGCTGAGCTATGGCCCCAAACGAGCGCGTGATGTTAGGTACCCCACCACGACCTGTCAATAAAGGGATGTACTTACTATGTAGGATCAGGACCCAATTGTATCTGAGTATAGGCTTTATCGAGCTTTTTACGCTCTTTGCCGGAGACATTTAAAGCCTCCAGGGCGTCTCTTAATCTTGCGCGTGACAAGTCAGCCCCCAGGAAAATCAGCGAATCGAACAGCGGCAATGACACGCTGCGGCCGCTGATGGCAATAAACAGAGGAAACAGGAAATCGCGGAATTTAAGATCAAGGTGCTGGGCCATTTTCTGGCACAGCTCGAACAGCTCATCCCGCTCCCAGCTGCGCTGCTTATCAAATTCTGCCAATGTGTGATGCAAGACCTGCACAACATCTTTGCGTTCCAGGCTTTTGTGCTGGAAATCTTCTTCGCTGAGCGCTTTTCTGGCCCCAACAAGGTAGTCAACCAGCGGCATGAGGTCAGAAAGCTTCTCCGCCCGTTCCTGTACCAACGGCACCAGAGCTGACAGGCGCTCTTTGTTAAGCATCCAGGATGCAACACGAGCGGCATACTCATCTGCATCCATCGCGCGTAGATATTGACCGTTCAACCAGGCGAGTTTTACCGGGTCAAAAATGGGTGCGCCAACTGAAATACGGCTTTCATCAAAGACTTCCAGCATGTCCTGCTTACTGAAAATTTCCCGTTCATCGGGCATCGAGTAGCCCATAAGGCCAAGATAGTTGAGCAGTGCTTCAGGCAGAAAGCCTTCGTCCCGGTAATAAGTCACGCTGGTGGGATTCTTGCGCTTTGACAATTTACTCTGATCAGGGTTGCGCAACAGCGGCAGGTGGATCAACACCGGCATCTGCCAACCCAGATACTCGTACAGGAGCTTGTGTTTGGGCACAGAAGTCACCCACTCTTCACCACGCAGGATGTGGGTAATACCCATGAGATGGTCATCCACCACCACTGCCAGGTGATAAGTCGGCATGCCGTCACTTTTCACCAGCACCTGCATGTCAACCTGACTGTAAGGAATGGTGATTTCGCCGCGCAACTCGTCTTTAAATGTACACTCACCCTCGTCAGGCACGCACATACGAATGACATGGGTTTCGCCCGCCGACAGACGCGCGCTCACGTCATCTGGCGCGAGATTCAGGCAGTGTCCGTCATACCGGGTAGTTTGTTTAGCCGCCTGTTGAGCACTGCGCACCTGGTCCAGACGCTCTTTACTGCAGAAACAGGGAAACGCATGCCCGCCTGAAACCAGCTTTTCGCTGTAGCGGGCGTAGATTTCGCGGCGCTCACTCTGACGATAAGGGCCGTGTGGACCACCGACATCAGGACCTTCGTCCCAATCGAGATTGAGCCAGCGTAACGCATCGAATATGACCTGCTCAGACTCTCCGGTGCTGCGCGCCTGATCCGTGTCTTCAATACGTAGCAGAAACTGTCCGCCATGACGTCTGGCAAAGGCCCAGTTAAACAAGGCCATGTAGGCGGTACCCACATGAGGATCGCCAGTGGGTGATGGTGCGATGCGGGTTCTGACGCTCACTGCAAAGTCCTATAGCTTGCGCCAGACGGCATTTTCATCAGAATCCCAGTTTGAAAACGTCGTTGGGGATCAATGGATAGGAGATGCCTGACCACTTCTGCACAACCCGGATCACCTGACAGGCATAGCCAAATTCATTGTCGTACCAGACGTATAAAACCGCACGATTGCCACTGACGATAGTGGCTTCGCCATCAATAATGCACGCATGCCGATTACCAACCAGGTCCGTTGACACAACATCCGGCGATGTCGTGTAGTCAATCTGGCGCTGCAGGTTACTGTTCAGGCTGACGTCACGTAAAAATTCTGACATCTCTTCAGCCGTGGTTTCACGACCCAGTGTCAGGTTGAGGATGGCCAGCGATACGTTGGGGGTCGGTACGCGAATCGCGTTACCGGTCAGTTTGCCTTCCATCTCGGGCATCAGCTTGACAACCGCAGATGAAGCACCCGTCTCCGTAATCACCATGTTCAACGGTGCACTGCGTCCGCGTCGATTTTTCTTATGGTAATTGTCGGTCAGGTTCTGATCGTTAGTATAGGCGTGCACAGTTTCCATGTGGCCGTTAACGATCTCGAAATGTTCATTAACAACCTTCAACACGGGCACAATGGCGTTGGTTGTGCAGCTCGCGGCGCCGAGAATTGTGTCGTCTTTATCAACGATGTTGGAGTTAACCCCGGACACGATGTTTTTGATGGCACCCTTGCCTGGTGCAGTGAGCACAACTTTGGCTGCGCCTTTTGCTTTCAGGTGTTGCCCCAGGCCCTCCTGATCTCGCCATGCACCGGTGTTGTCTATGATCACGGCATTGTGTATGCCGAAAGATTCATAGTCGATTTCTGCCGGGTTACCTGCGTAAATCACGCGTATGACGTTACCGTTGGCAATAATAGCGCTGTTTTCTTCATCAACCCGAATGGTGCCTTCAAAGCTGCCGTGAACCGAGTCGCGGCGCAACAGGCTTGCGCGCTTGATAAGATCGTCATCGCTGCCTTTACGAACTACAATAGCGCGCAGCCGTAACTGCTGCCCGCTGCCCGTCTTTTCGATTAGCAAACGCGCCAGCAGCCGACCGATACGGCCAAAGCCGTACAACACGATATCCTGGGGTTGTGGTAAAGGGGGTACATGCCGACCAATGACTTCAGCACATTCTCTTTCGACAAACATCGTTGCTGATACTTCACCTGCTTCCAGCTCTTCCATGTATTTGGTCGCCAGGCGCCCCACGTCTATATGGCTGGGGCCAAGGTCAAGTTTTGACATGGCTTCGAGGACTGGAAAACTCTCGAATTCAGACAGTTCGTTGTTGGCTATCTGGCGTACATAGCGATGAGTTTTCATCAGCTGTGTCACGCTCTGGTTATACATTGCACGACCAAAGCAGTAACACACCACATTGCGCCGGTAGAGTTGGCCAATTAAGGGAATCATCGCTTCAGCCAGGGCTTCACGTTCTTTCCAATCGGGGAAGTAATCTTCGAGGGTGGGTAGCGCCACGTCGCGTCCTCTTCGGTTAGTTTGTCAGGCGGGGGTTAGCGGGCGCCATTATAGAGACTGGCTGCGCCCGAGCAACCTTGGTGAGCGCTATTTTGGTCACCAAGATGTGAGCAAGTTGCAAAAATCTGCTGGAGTTATCGGAAACCTGCGTTGATTGCATCCAGTGAGGCTTGGCCGGGGCACAAATCCGCTTCATTGAGCTGATTCAACGGTCTCTGAATCGTATCCATAACATCATGGCAATCTGATGCTTTTGGATCTACGTAGAGCAGCCCTGTGACGACGTCTCCAGTTTCGGCGCTGCGCTGCACATAATTCAACGCGCCAACCCTGTCGTGAGGGTCATACTGGTCGTCAAGTTTGTAAAGACGCAGCGTGGATCCATCCGGCATGCTGATATCTTCTTTGCTGCCGGGTTTGTAGTCAGCAGTGATTTCATCATGTTCGGGGATGTAATCCGCATTCACCACATTCTGCATATGCGAGCGCACGTGGTCGTAGCTTTTTGTAGATCCCGCGTGGTTGTTAAACGCCACGCAAGGCGAAATAACGTCGATAAACGCCATGCCCTTGTGGCGCAAACCGGCCTTGATCAAAGGCACCAACTGGTGCTTGTCGCCAGAGAAGCTGCGCGCCACAAAGGTTGCCCCCAGCTGCAACGCCATGCTGACCAGGTCTATGGGTTCATAAAGGTTCGGGGCACCTTTTTTGGATGTGGAGCCTTTGTCATTGGTGGCGGAAAACTGGCCTTTAGTGAGCCCATAAGTACCATTGTTATCAACAATATAGAGCATATTGATGCGACGACGCACGATGTGTGCAAACTGTCCAAGACCAATAGAGGCGCTGTCTCCATCACCAGATACGCCAACACAATACAGCTCACGATTGGCAAGATTTGACCCTGTCATGACCGACGGCATACGACCGTGGACTGAATTAAGGCCGTGTGATTTGTTCAGAAAATAGCTGGGTGTTTTGGAAGAACAACCGATACCTGATACTTTGGCAAATCGATGCGGCGGCAGCGACAGCTCAGCACAGGCCTGTACGATCGCAGCGCTGACCGAATCGTGCCCGCACCCAGCGCACAGGGTAGACACCGAGCCTTCATAATCACGCCGGGTAAGGCCGATTTCGTTCAGCGGCAGATTCGGGTGATGTGCCTTAGGTTTGGCGACGAAGGTCATGATTTCACCTCAGTTAAACGCGGTAATTTATTTTCCTGAAAATATTCCAGAATGTTTTGTTGAATAAAGTCTGCCGAGATTGACAGTCCGGCATAGTAGTTCACACGCACCAGTTTAGCAGGCGAGAAATCGCCTTCGGTAATCAACAGGGTGCGCATCTGAGCATCCCTGTTCTGCTCAACCACAAACACCACGTCGTGATCGTCGATAAACGATGTTACCTCTTCGCCAAATGGAAAGGCGCGGATTCGGCAGGTGTCCAGAACCACGCCTTCGGGTTGCAGCAGATCCAGAGCCTCAGGCATCGGCAGTGCTGTTGTGCCGTAATAAAGCACCCCTACCCGGCTCTTGCCTGTGCTGATTTCCGCTGCTGGCACCAGAGTTTTTGCGGTATCCCATTTTTTCAGCAAGCGTTCCATATTGCGCTGGTACGCATCAGGGGATTCGGTATACGCGGCAAATTCATCCCGCGACGTGCCGCGGGTGAAAAACGCACCTTTGTCCGGATGCGTGCCCGGATAGGTTCGATAGCCGATGCCATCACCATCCACATCAAGATACCGACCAAACACATCCAACTGATCAAGATCGTCTGCAGTGAGGACTTTACCGCGATCGTAATTTCGATTTTCGTCCCATACAAACGGTTCGCTTAAGTTGTCATTCATGCCCAGTTCAAGGTCAGACAGAATGATAATAGGTGTCTGCAGTCTGTCGGCCAGATCCAATGCTTCCGCGGCAAAATCAAAACATTCTTTCGGCGTGGAGGGGAACAGCAGTGGATGCTTGGTGTCGCCATGAGAGGCAAATGCGGCAGACAACACGTCGCTCTGCTGGGTGCGTGTCGGCATGCCTGTGGAAGGCCCTGCACGTTGGATATCCCATAAAACTGCAGGAATTTCAGCAAAGTACGCCAACCCGAGGAATTCGGACATCAGCGAAACACCCGGGCCGCTGGTCGCGGTGAATGATCGAGCGCCATTCCAGGCAGCACCAATCACAATACCGATCGCTGCAAGTTCATCTTCGGCCTGAATAATGGCAAATTTCTTCTGTCCGGTTTCAGCGTCGATGCGCAGACGATTGGCATGTTGCTCAAAAGCTTCTGCCACCGACGTTGACGGTGTGATTGGGTACCAGGCACAGACTGTGGCGCCGCCATAGATAGATCCAAGGCCGGCAGCAGCATTACCGTCAACCATGATGCGATCGCCAACTTTGTCGGATCGGCGTACCTGTATCGGCAACGGCGCCTCCAGGTAGTCGTAAGCATACTGACGGCCGATTTCCAGCGCGCGTATGTTGGGTGCGATGAGTGTGTCTTTACCTTTGTATTGCGTCGCCACCATGCCGGTGATGACATCAAACTCGATATTTAACAAGCCGGCCAGCGCGCCGAGATAAGTGATGTTTTTAAACAGGCTGCGTTGTTTCGGATCGCTGAATTCAGGCAACAACATAGTGGCAATGGGAATACCCACTTCATGGATATCATCCCGTCGCAGATGTTTGGGCAGCGGCTTGGAGTTGTCGTAAACCAGATATCCGCCAGGTTTGACTGAAGCAATATCTTCCACCAGGGTCTCAGCATTCATCGGCACCATGATGTCGACACCTTCCCGACGGCCCATATAACCAGCTTCGCTGACTCTGACTTCAAACCAGGTCGGCAGCCCCTGGATATTCGAAGGGAAGATATTACGTGTCGCAACCGGTATGCCCATGCGGAACAGTGCTTTGGCAAACATACCGTTTGCGCTGGCTGAACCCGAGCCATTTACGTTGGCGAAACGGATAACAAAATCGTTATAGCTGACACTCATTCTGCATAAGATCCTAGTTGGGGAATATGCACAACAGAGCGCTGCATATCCCATGCATTAGTGGGACATCGTTCCGCGCACAGGCCGCAGTGCAAACAGACATCTTCGTCTTTCACCATCACCCTCCCCGTGGGTAACTCATCAGACAGATATAAATCCTGCTCCATATTCAGTGCCGGTGCAGTGAGCCGCTGGCGAAGTTCCTGCTCCGGCGCCTTTTCTATAAAGGTAATGCAATCCATAGGACAGATGTCGACACAAGCGTCACACTCGATACACAGTTTGTCGGTAAACACTGTCTGCACATCACAGTTCAGACAACGCTGTGCTTCCGCTGCACCGAGTTCCTGGTCAAATCCCAGTTCGACTTCAACTTTGTAATTGGATAACGCCGATTGTTTCTCCACCAGAGGGACGGCGTAGCGCGCGGATGCATCATATTCAGCATCATAGGCCCATTCGTGAACACCCATCTTCGTAGACAGGAGATTAACGCCCTGGGGTGGCCGGTCTTTCTTCAGATCCTTGCCTTCGCACAAAAGGTGGATGCTGATGGCTGCCTGGTGTGCATGTGCTGAGGCCCAGATGATGTTTTCCGGACCAAATGCGCTGTCGCCACCAAAAAATACTTTCGGATGGGTGGACTGCAAGGTGACTTCGTCCAGCACCGGACAATCCCATTTATCAAACTCCATACCGAGGTCGCGTTCAATCCAGGGACAGTGGTTGTCCTGGCCGATAGCCATCAGAATATGGTCAGCTTCGATGAAGACGTCAGGCTCGCCGCTGGGGACGTACTTGAGTCGGCCGTCATCGCCTTTGACCGGCTCCACGCACTCGAACAGCACCCCTTTCAGTTTGCCGTTTTCGTGCACAAATTCTTTCGGGGGACGATTGTTGATGATCGGAATGCCCTCCCGCATGGCATCTTCTTTTTCCCACTCCGAGGCTTTCATGACTTCGAAAGCAGAACGGACCACGACACTCACTGATTCAGCGCCCATGCGCAGAGAGGTGCGACAGCAGTCCATGGCGGTATTACCACCACCCATAACAATGACTTTGCCTTTGATCTCTGTGGTGTGACCAAACGCCACGCTCGACAGCCAATCAATGCCGATGTGGATGTGATCATCTACGGCATCCCGACCCGGGAGTTCCAGGTCTCTGCCACGAGGCGCTCCGGTGCCAACAAAATAGGCGTCGAAGTCCATATCCAGCATGCTCTTCATACTGGTGATTTCATGACCGAAGTGGCATTCCACCCCCATATCGAGAATCTGTTCAACTTCTTCATCCAGTACTTCAACTGGCAGTCGAAAAGCCGGGATCTGACTACGCATGAAGCCGCCACCTTTACTTTCCTTCTCGAAAAGGTGTACCTCGTAACCCAGGGGCAGCAGATCTCGAGCGACGGCAAGTGAAGCCGGGCCTGCACCGATCAACGCGATACGTTTGCCGTTTTTCTGCGTGGGTACGCGTGGCATGTAAGCAGAGATGTCCCCTTTATTGTCTGCCGCAACTCGTTTGAGACGGCAGATGGCAACGGGTTTTTCTTCTGTGCGAACGCGTCGACAAGCGGGTTCGCAGGGGCGATCGCAGGTGCGGCCTAGAATGCCGGGGAAAACGTTGGAATCCCAATTCAGCATGTAGGCTTCTGTGTATCGCTCCTGAGCTATCAGGCGGATGTATTCGGGTACCGGGGTATGCGCTGGGCAAGCGTACTGGCAATCGACAACTTTGTGAAAATACTGCGGGTCTGAGATGTCAGTGGGTTGCATTGTCTGTGCTCGTTGATGGCTTCTTTTTTTGGCGTGGCGAGACTTTAACTGTTTTACACGTGCGCTGGCTAGTGTTTGACAATTCCCCGGTGCAACTGGCTTTAACGGTGGTTATGGCGGCGCACCACTGAGTTTATCCACAGCTTATCCACAGCGATCTGCGACACCAGTTACCGGGTGTGCAGGCTCAAAGGATCAACCGCCAGCTGGTTCAATAAATCAGTGCCAAGCAGGCCGTCGATACCAGGTAGATTGATGGGCAGTTCCAGTACTCTCAGGTCGGTGAACAGGCGCCCTTCCACACGAATTTCAGGCACGTTGTAGACGCCTGTTGTCACCAGCCCGCCGGCGGTTCTCACTGAGGCTTCCTGAGGCAGGCGCCGTGCGGCTAACGAACGCAGTGCTGATTTGGTCAGGCTGGTGATATTAGCGCCTGTATCTACCAGCAATGTCACCGCAAGACCGGTTGGCGCACTGGCGATGGACAGCAGGCGATCGCCATCTTTTTGAAACTGAACCGTCGTCTGGGCAAGCAGAATCTGTTCTTCCAGCGTATCGAGTTCATCTTGAGAGACATCGCTTGTGCCGGTTTGAGCAAGTATCCGAAGCGCCTCGTCATGCTGTTCGTATTGAGCCAGCGCGCGCGCCCACTGGTAACGGAACAGATCGCTGGCGGGCAGGCGCAGACTGACGTGTTGCCAGAAAGCGGCCCGCTCTGCCAGCGCGCCACGGGTGCGCAGTTCGTTGTCGATAACGTTGATAATCTGTTCGGCAGCACGCTTTGCCTGGTCGTACTGTTGGGGTTGAACGGGTTGCGCAAGCAGACCAAACAGGGTTTCCAGCGCACCTTCCCGCAGCCCACTGACCTGCTGTAAGTCGCTCAACAGGAACAACGCATCGATATCATCAACGCGCACATCAAGATAAGCGCGCAATACGCTACGCATCGCCAGAGCATCGTATTTGTTGACCTGCCTGGACATCGAGTTAACCAACGCGACGCCCTGCTCGGTGCTTACGCTCTGTGCATGCTCATCAAACCACCTTTCCAGCTGAAACCAGGCGCCGTTTTCAAGAAGTTCGTAAAACACGTCAGTAGCATCAGCGACTGGAATTTGCTCGGGCTGTCTGGCTGAACCGACAGCTGATGTTGTCGTCGATGAGGGAATATCTGGGGTTGGCATCACCATCGATGATGAGGCGCGCAAAGAACCCTGCCAGAAACCAATGGCATAGACGACCGTCATGGCAGCAAGTGCTAAAAATATTTGAATTCCTCTACCTGACATCGCCACAGCACCTTGTTGAGTGGTTAGAATAGCGCCTTTCGAACGCCCTGAACTATCTGCAAACGGACACGCTTTGACAACTGCTGTTACCGCCTCATCTATCGCGCCTGGGCTTGCCGGCGACGTACAACGCCCTGCACAACCTGGACAGCAGGTTACCTGGTCCAATCTGCACGGTCTGGCCGATGCGCTGGCGGTTACCCGGATCAGCACAGCTCAGCCAGGTCTGGTACTGGTAGTCACTGCTAATTCGGCACGCGCACAACGTTGGCAGAGTGCGTTATCACTGTTTTCAGACCCCGCAAACACGCCATTACACTTCCCCGACTGGGAAACGCTGGCCTATGATGCGTTCTCGCCTCATCAGGACATCACCTCCGAGCGGCTTGCTACGTTACGTGATCTGCCGAATGTCAGCACCGGGGTGCTCACAGTGCCTGTAACCACCCTGTTACAACGAATCTCGCCACCCAGCTATATTGCCGGCTCAGGTTTCGACTTTCAGCCCGGGCAAAGGTTAGACATTGCAACCCAGCGACGTGCGCTGGACTCTGCCGGATATCAGAATGTAGATACCGTAAGCGAACGGGGCCAGTATGCTGTGCGTGGATCTGTACTGGACATCTATCCGATGGGCAGCGAACTGCCGGTACGTCTGGATCTGTTTGATGACGAAATAGATACGCTGCGCACCTTCGACCCGGATACCCAGCGAACCATAAATAAAATTGACCGATTAGACCTGCTGCCTGCAAAGGAATTTCCCTTTAATGATGCGGCGATAGCGCGCTTTCGCGACCAGTGGCACAACACGTTTAACGTTGATGTCCGTAGATGTAGTGTTTATCAGGATGTGTCCAGCGGCATCGTGCCCAACGGGGTTGAATACTATCTGCCGTTTTTCTTTGAGCACTTAGGCACTCTGTTTGACTACCTTCCGGATAATGTGTTGCTGGTTGTGGAGGAAGGTGTCGTCGAGGCGGCACAGCATCAGATTGAGGACACCGAGCTTCGTTACGAATCGCTGCGGCATGATATAGAGCGCCCTATTCTGCCGCCGCGGGAACTTTTCATGGCGATGGATGAGTTGCACGGTCATCTGAACACTTTGCCGCGCATTAACCTCAGCACATCACCTGGTAAACACGGCCAGTTTTTCACCAGCCAGAAATTGCCGGAGCTGACGTTCAATCCCCGGACGAAAGATCCTGCCGAGAAATTGAAGCGTTTTGTAGAGCACGTACAGCAGCCGATTCTGTTTGTTGCGGAGTCTGCCGGCCGTCGCGAAGTATTTGATGAATTGCTGCGCAAAGCCGGCATTCGGACCCAGGTGGTCAGCGACTTTGCCAGTTACCAGCAGGCAAGTGAGCACTGTATCAGCGTGGCAGAGCTGGATGAGGGCCTGTACGTCGATGGCGCAGTCATTATCACCGAAGCAGATGTGCTGGGCTCCCGACAAACAGATCCGCGCAGGGACGCCGGTGCAAAGGTTATTGATCCGGACCTGTTGGTCAGAAATCTTACCGAGCTGACCATTGGCGCGCCGGTTGTGCACATTGAGCACGGTGTCGGCAGATACGTCGGGCTGCAGATACTGACCATCGACCAGGATCCACACGAATTTCTTACCCTGATTTATGCAGACGATGCGAAACTTTACGTACCCGTTACCTCTCTGCATCTGATCAGTCGCTATTCCGGCAGTGACGAAGGGCATGCCCCACTCCATCGGCTGGGTTCCGACCAGTGGGAAAAGGCGAAACGTAAAGCCGCCGAAAAAGTTGTCGATGTCGCTGCGGAACTGCTCGACATATACGCACGCCGCGAGCTGCGAACTTCTTTTCAATTTGAGCTGAATCAAGCTGAGTACGACAGGTTTGCCAACGAATTTCCTTTCGAAGTAACCCTCGACCAGCAACGCGCGATCGAAGACACACTGACAGATATGACCACCCTGCGGGCGATGGATCGCCTGATCTGCGGTGATGTTGGCTTCGGTAAAACTGAAGTGGCCATGCGGGCCGCTTTTGTTGCTGTGCAAAATGGTAAACAGGTTGCTGTGCTGGTACCCACTACCCTGCTTGCCCAGCAGCATGAAGACAGTTTTCGCGATCGGTTTGCCGGCTGGCCTGTCACTGTGGAAGGCGTCAGCCGACTGCGATCTACTGCCGAGATCGGTGAAATCACGCAAAGGCTGCGCAGCGGCAAGCTCGACATTCTGATCGGCACGCACAAGCTGCTGTCAGATGACTTCCAGTTTAAAAACCTCGGTCTTATTGTAATAGACGAAGAACATCGCTTCGGAGTCCGTCAGAAAGAACGTCTCAAAGCCATGCGTGCGGAAGTTGATATTCTCACACTGACGGCGACGCCTATACCACGAACGCTGAATATGTCCCTGTCAGGTATACGGGATTTGTCGATTATCGCGACCCCGCCGGCTAAACGTCTGTCGATAAAAACGTTTGTTCAACAGAAACACAAACACCAGATCAAAGAAGCCATCAGCCGTGAGCTCGCTCGGGGCGGCCAGGTTTTTCTGCTGCACAACGAAGTGCGCAATATCGAAGCCGCTGCAGAGGAAATTGCTGAACTGGTGCCTGAAGCGCGTATCGGCATAGGCCACGGACAGATGCCGAAAAGAGACCTGGAGCAGGTCATGTCAGATTTCTACCATCGCCGCCTGAATGTGCTGGTTTGCACAACAATTATTGAAACGGGTCTGGACGTGCCCAATGCCAATACCATCATTATTGAACGTGCTGACAAATTTGGATTGGCACAGCTGCACCAGCTTCGGGGACGGGTTGGTCGCAGTCACCGCCAGGCGTATGCCTATTTGTTAACCCCGCACCCCAAATCTATGACCGCTGATGCTAAAAAACGCCTTGATGCCATCGAAGCTTCGGGTGAATTAGGTATCGGTTTCACGCTGGCCACACATGACATGGAAATCCGCGGCGCTGGCGAGCTTCTGGGTGATGACCAGTCCGGCCAGATTGAGTCCATCGGCTTTTCGCTATACATGGAACTGCTGGAACGCGCGGTGTCTGCCATGCGTGCCGGTCAGTCGCCTAATGTGGACAGCCCGCTTGAGCCTGTGAGTCAGGAAGTGAACCTGCATGCGGCGACCCTGATTCCAGAAGATTATCTGCCGGATGTACACACGCGCCTGATTCTCTATAAACGCATCAGCGCGGCTAAAACACAGCGTCAGCTTGATGATCTGCAGGTTGAAATTATCGACAGGTTTGGCCTTTTGCCATTGCCATTGAAACGCCTGTTTGCCGTAACAGGTTTGAAAATAGCCAGTCAGGCGCTGGGTTTAGCGAAACTTGATATCGGCCCGGAACGCGGCAAACTGGAATTCAATCAGGCGACGAAGGTTGACCCCATCAAGATTGTCAATCTGGTACAACAACAGCCGAACAGTTACAAAATGGAAGGCGCTGCAGTCCTGCGTGTAATTCAGGACCTGCCTGAGTTTGATCAACGTGTAGCCTTTGCACAGAGTCTGTTAACTGATCTGATGCCCGACATAGAGGCGGCCGCATGAACATGAAACAAATGACAGCTGTCCTCACCGTTGCGCTGCTGAGTGCTGCCGTGCATGCCGCAGATATTGAAGACCAGATGCAGGCGCGCTGGTTCGAAATCGAAATCCTGGTGTTTGAACGCCTTGACGTTCTGGATGTCAATGTTGACGAAAAG